AACTTCAATGTTGAAAGATTTTATTAGTTTTTTTTAAAAAACACCTAATCTAGGCAAAAATAATGGGGGTTTAGTTACATTATATGATCATACATTGCATAAGCCTGCCACAACGTCAATGTACCCCATCTTTGGCAGGTCCTACACTGACAGCCTAATGTCTGCCCTAATGTCTGCTCAACTCCTTGGTTTTGCACCCCTCCCTGTCACAGGTGCCTCATCCCAGGGCCCTATTTAGCCTTGTACTGCAGAGAGCCCCAGATGGAATTTTTTTCCCAAGTAGGTTAATCTCATAAGAGCAGACATTAGGCTGTCAGTGTAGGACCTGCCAAAGATGGGGTACATTGACGTTGTGGCAGGCTTATGCAATGTATGATCATATAATGTAACTAAACCCCCATTATTTTTGCCTAGATTAGGTGTTTTTTAAAAAAACAAATACAATCTTTCAACATTGAAGTTGCTGTTTAGTGGATAGGTGAGTGCGCTGGATCTTGTGTATTGTATTATTTGGCCCCCAGCAGCACCCCCATTTATGCATGTTAAGGTGAGTGCAGCCAACCCCTCTTGTTTTATATATATATATTTGGGAGTCTAGCCAACTCCTTGGTTTTGCACCCCTCCCTGTCACAGGTGTGCTCATCCCAGGGTTGTTGGCCCAGCCTTGTACTGCAGGGGGCCCCCAGATGGAATTTTTTTCCCCAAGTAGGTTAATCTCATAAGAGCAGACATTAGGCTGTTAGTGTAGGACCTGCCAAAGATGGGGTACATTGACGTTGTGGCAGGCTTATGCACTGTATGATCATATAATGTAAATAAACCCCATTATTTTTGCCTAGATTAGGTGTTTTTTAAAAAAACAAATAAAATCTTTCAACATTGAAGTTGCTGTTTAGTGGATAGGTGAGTGCGCTGGATCTTGTGTATTGTATTATTTGGCCCCCAGCAGCACCCCCATTTATGCATGTTAAGGTGAGTGCAGCCAACCCCTCTTGTTTTATATATATTTGGGAGTCTAGCCAACTCCTTGGTTTTGCACCCCTCCCTGTCACAGGTGCCTCATCCCAGGGCCCTATTTAGCCTTGTACTGCAGAGAGCCCCAGATGGAATTTTTTCCCAAGTAGGTTAATCTCATAAGAGCAGACATTAGGCTGTCAGTGTAGGACCTGCCAAAGATGGGGTACATTGACGTTGTGGCAGGCTTATGCAATGTATGATCATATAATGTAACTAAACCCCCATTATTTTTGCCTAGATTAGGTGTTTTTAAAAAAAAACAAATAAAATCTTTCAACATTGAAGTTGCTGTTTAGTGGATAGGTGAGTGCGCTGGATCTTGTGTATTATATATATATATATATATATATGGAACAAGAAAAATGGTAGTTCCTGCATTCCAACCTG